TCACTCGGTAGGTACCGGTAATCGCCAGTTGACAGCACGGCCCATTGCTTGATGGGCTGTCCCCTCTTGTTTGCCGGCATGCCGGGGGTCCGGGTGCCGGAGGGCGGCAGTCATTTCAGTCACCATACCTGTCTTGGGGCCGTCTTTATCGCCACGGTCACCAGGCCAAGATGATGCCAAGATAAAGGCCAAGGCCTTGCTGTGTTGGAGGGAGAAACTCCGGCCGTATCTCACAAGTCGCGAGACTTTCTCGGTTTGCTTTGGAGGGGTTACGCTATGATGGCGTGATCTCTCTGTGCAACGGATGTCAGCGTCTAAGGCAGCCCGTATTCTGACTTGCCCCTGCTGCCCTGCGCCCGAGCATCACTCACCACCGCCGACGGATGGATGGAAGTATAAGATTGAAACGACGGCTGTGGGCCTTGGTTTCCGTCAATAAGCCAATTGGTGCCGAGACTTCATGTAATCCAAGGCCACTGAGAGCGCTCAAGCTGATGGGGCCAAGGCGCCTAGCGATTTCCAAGACATGTTGCGCAACGCAATTCCTTGCCCGATTGCCAACGCGCTCTCTGCAGGCTGGGAGAGGCAGTAGACCTCCGGGGTAAAGCCAAGACGGTCTTCCAAAATATGGAGCTCGTGAGAAAGAGGCCAAGAGTGCGCGGGTATCCATGAAAATGGAGCAAAGATCACTCTGCAACAAGTCTCAATCGCATCGTAGCTTGAACCCGTTGAGCCAGGCATGCGGTGATCCCCGCCTCGAGCTGCACGCACAGCCTGCAGCGTCCTTCCTAATGTTGGACTGATATCCGAACATATGCCACCCGGTTCAACCCTCCGCATTTGGTCCTTGCGGTGGGTCTTGTCTTGGGTCTTGTCTCCTCGGACAGCCGGGGTCGTCGCGATCGGCCGGGGTAACGGGCAAAATGGTCTGATAGAAGCCCAAGAAAAAGTCGACCAAACGAGGCGGGTTTCAATGCTGACAGACATCGAGACTCAGAGAGGAGGCGGATTGTTAACAGATTGCATCATGGCAGAAACAGTAATGATGCTGTTACCAACGGGGGCACGAGTCCGTCTTTTCACTCGGGTCTTGGACACCCAAGACTTAGCCGGAAAGCTTGATATGATTTCCGTGGCACGGCAGACTCATCGGGCTCGTGGCACACCAGTGAGCCAGCCTTCTCATGGGGGGTGACCAATAGAGAGGGTCATGGGCATACAGGACGGCGCAAGGTGTGCGGGTATCCCTCCTTGAAGTTTAATTTCTTTGGGGGGATGTTAACAACAGCGTGGAACATATGTCGACCGATGCGGATCCAGGGCTTCGAACTGAATCTGATGATTGACGGGGATGATGAGGTGAGAGAGGTCGAGACGGGCGGTTGCAGGAAACTCACAAATCACAAATCGCGCAAATGCAATGTTAGTGGCGAGCCAAACGTTGAGCGAGGAGCGATGCCAAGACTCGTAAGACGTCGTTTAAATTGCTCGCCTTCTGATAGCGCATCAGCTGCGGAGGGTTGGAGTGGTTGGTGGACTGGCAGCAGCTGCCCCCCGCTCGAGCAGGCGAGAGAGTTGAGGCCAAGGCGAAACCGTCCATCCTCGTAAGTCTTGGCATTGCTTGCACAGCCTCATTCGAACGGCGAAGCGGCGGGCGCAAGGGTCGTCAACAGGCCGAAGGTGCTTGGTATCTGCAGCCAAGGACGCCCAGGCTTTGTCTTGGCTGGGCGATGAAGCGGCAAGTTCTCAGATTTGGCTGGCTCCGATGGCCGTATCCCGTAGCCAGCTCGTAGTGGCGTGTTTCGTGCTGTCTCGAGTCCTGTTCTGGAGGCCCTAGGATTGAGTGGTCGGTAGCAGCAGCAGCAGCAGCAAAAGCACAGTGCCCGTTCGTCGTCGCGCGGGATTACTGATGATGTGATAGCATGTGAGACGGCTAGTCGTTCCTGGAGTTTGTGCCTGCCTCTTGTTGATTAAGCTTGGCGCTGTGGTCCTCGAGGAAGAGGACGACGCGCAGGACTCCAAAAGGCTCTCAGGAGGTTTCTGATACCAGCTGAAGTACCGCCAGCGTGGGTCGAACTGCCAAGGGTGGCCGACCCGCCCACCTGACCATGGACGTGTCGACGGCTCGGGCACCTTGAATTGGATCCATGTTGTGAGGTAACAGACGAGCGCTAAATTGAGAAAGGTTGTTCGGGGGGGGGGGGGGGGGGGGTTCTGCGATGCGGACGATGCAAGCCTCGGATGACGAGAAGATCGTGGTTTAGCGAGAATACTTAAAAAAAAATTGGAGGGAGGGAGGGATACTTGGACCACCAAGCAAATGGAGATGGAAAAGGTGGCAGATGGAAGGAAGGGAGGGGGGTACCTGCTGATGCTAAAAATTAAGTCTCGACCCCATGGAGTTTGGCAGGCGGGACAGATGCCACTCTGTACGGATACTGTAGGTACATCTGGAGGTGTATCGCACGGTAGTTACGTACATGCCTCGCTCAGATGGCGCCTTGAACGCGGTGATACGTACCCCTCGGGTCCCTGGCTTAATGTCGCGGTACCATGGAGGAGACCTCGCCTACAGTTACACTGCTGCCTTGATTAGTTTTTGATTTTCAATCTGTTTTGCTACCTATCTCGATCAATCTTTGATTCGCACGATTCGGTCGCTCGCCTGTCTACTTCCCACGCACCACACAACATTACTCCTCCCCGCTTGCCCCCTCACCCCCCCTCTTTGTGTGTTAGGTCTTGGCGATATCCACTCATCTCCTCGCACCAAAAACACTTAGTTCCCCAAGGCAAGGCCCGGCATACCGGCTTCCCTGGCGTGGGCCGCAACAAGCAGTGTTGCGCAACACTTTGTGGACGAGCCGGTTTGGACGGCTTGTCGCTGACCAAGTGAGTGGGAGGGAGCGGCGACTGTGCTGCGAACAGGTCGAGGAGAGAGGGTGGGCCAAGGGGTGGAGACTCAACAGACGGGCTTGCGCGTAGCCCTTGGCGCCAAGGACATGGAGGTCTTGGCTGCGGCGGAGAGGCCAAGAAGAGAGGAGCGGAAAGCTTCTTTCTGCTCTTGGTCATCGCCCCTCAACCAACCATGTCGAGTCATCTGGCCCCGAAAAAGGGTGGGAGCCACCCCCCGGCTTATCGAGATCTTGGCATCATCTACGGTCGAGTCGAAAAAGGGGAGGTGGAGGTGCTCGGTTAAGCACATTAGAGGGGGTATGACGAGCCGGCTGCATCAGGGAGGTCCAATCCCCGTCCACCTTTTATCGAGTTATGGGATATGCACTTATCAGAGCGTCCGTGGCCGCCGCCGCCGCCGCCGTCCCCCGTGTTTTATTCTCGGTCTCTTGGCTTCTTGGGGGAATCTTGGGGGGTCAGGGATCTTGGGTGAACAGGCTTTGGCAGTCTTGGAAGGCTTGTCGAGTCTTGTCCTTTCGTGCTTTGCTTATTGTCCCACTCCCCTCCCCCTTTGCCTGTCGTGTCAATCGTCGCCAGACATGCGCATGCGCATGCCCCCATCAATCGTCCAATCTCTGAATGCGTATCCGCAGTGTGAACCTGGGTATGGAGTATCCCTACAACGGGGACGCTTTACTTCTAGCCTTGTGACATCAGGTATCCGTATAGTGAGTGCTTGGCGGCTTGTTTCTCCAGGGAGGGACAGTCTTGGGGGTGGGTCCTTCTCTTTCTTGTCCCGTCCGGTCAAAACCCTCGGCCCAAAAATACTTGGCTTGGCTTGTTCGTTCAGTCGGAAACAGCTCTCCCCCATCTGAGACGGTCGCGGGCCTCCCCTTCAGACGACACACAGAATGCGGATACGGCTGCAGCATCTGCCGGACAAAATGCGGAGCGTTGCACCATGCTACGAAGACAGCAACAATCAATCAATCAACCCATCCACCGCGTGGCTACCGTTCAATAGCGACAATCGCTCGCAGTCCCTCGCGGTCGACGACGCAAAAAATGGCAGAGCACGAGACCCATCAGGAGATCCAGGTGGGGGGTGCCTTTCAGGACGAGACGAGGAAACAAAAAGGCAAAGCCTGGCTGGCTCCGGCTATCAGCTGATGGCGAGGTATGGTACTCCGTATCTACCAGCGACAACAGGAAACGGTTGCGCGTGCAGAATCAGAATGGAGCAACGAGCGCCAAGTGCTAACTAATGCCAAGACCTAGGCCAAGGGAGAATGAGGTGAAAACTGGAGATTTGCCAAGGCTCCCCAAGACAGCCAAAAGTCTTGGCATCGTATGCGCCCGGATGTCGCGGTGCTGGCAGGGTACTTGGGAAGGCAGTGTGCGCTGATGAGATCTGGCAGCCGCCCAACACTGTGCAAGGGGATCCTGCCTAACTCCACATGCCACGTAATCTGCTGACGATTCGATAGTTAGTATCTTCTCGTCTCACAGTGTCAATGAGCCGGCTTTCCTCCCGCTGCTGTCCCGTGCTTGTCCCTCCCCACCATCCGCGACATCAGCTCGGAAGCCCTCGCCACCCTCGACCAATCAAACATCAGGTAGCCCGGCAAACTCCCGGTCGCCAAGACTTTGCCAAGACTCATGGGAGGGTAGGAAGAGCGGAAAGGAAATGTGATTCATGAATAAAGAGACAAGCCGCCGGCCTTGCCCCCCAGATCAAGCTGGAAAGATTCTCGACGAACAACCCAGTCTCGCAAGAGTCGGCAAGAAAAAACATAAAAGCGTTGCTGACCGTCGCTTTCCCCCCGCCGTTTCCAGCCTCTGTCTGCCCTATTCCAAGTATCACGTTTCGGCAGTCTACATCCTTTGCTATCATCGTCCATCTACATCCGTCTACCCACTCACTGCCTGAGTACCGGAGCGCCCCACTTCACTTACACACACAACATCACACCTCACTCCCGCACTCACTCGGTGTCCGCCAAACAAACAGGGGACCCAGCTCGACTCACCCTTTCGGGCTGTCGTTTTTTTTCCCTCTTCATTGAGCAATCCGCAGCTCACTCACCACATCACATTCGCACATCATGTCGACAAAGCAAGAGAATGAGAGCTCTGCGAGCAACTCTCCCAAGAGCAGCACCCCAGCTCCCTCAACAACTACCAGCAACACCTCTCAGTCCAACAGCACTAGCGCCGAGGACAACCTCATTTGCAAGTGGAACGCCTGCAACCTCAAGTTTGTTTCACCCGAGGCTCTCTACGTATGTCACTCTTACTATGCCATGCTCATCACCATCATCATCCCGCTAACCAATTCACCAGGAGCACATTTGTGAGCGCCATGTCGGCCGCAAGAGCACCAACAACCTCAACTTGACTTGCCAATGGAACTCGTGCAGAACGACCACCGTTAAGCGTGACCACATCACTTCTCACATCCGTGTGCACGTCCCGCTCAAGCCTCACAAGTGCGAGTTCTGCGGCAAGTCATTCAAGCGTCCCCAGGACTTAAAGAAGCACGTCAAGGTTAGTCGCGTCGCCACCGCCACCGCCCCCACGCAACAATGCGCGAGAACTCACACTAACACTCTTCTTCAGACCCACGCCGATGATTCGGTACTCGTTCGTTCCCCCCAGGACCAAGGCATGAACGGCTACAGGGCGCAGCCCGGCAAAGGTATGTAGGAGCTCACGTTTGCGCATCCAATGTCCTCTATTTTCTCCCAACTAGAGGCTAATTTGCCTCCAGCTTCTTCTAGCTACTATGATCATAATGGCCACATTCGAACTAACTCGGCCGCCTTCGCACACCAGGCTGGGCATGCTAGCTACTATGCACCCCAACCATCTACGAACTATGGACTGTACTTCAACCAACAACCCCTGAACCCTCCCCGATCTGAGTACATTGGCCACCACCACGGTGGCTACGACAACCGGAAACGCGCCTTCGACATGGTCGACGACTTCTTTGCCCACGCCAAGCGCCGCCAGGTCGACCCCACCTCTTACCAGCAAGTCGGCCGGTCCCTACTCCCCCTCCACGGCGCTCTCGGCCTGCACGCCGGACCCATGCCTGGCTCTGATTACATGTCCGCTCCGCCCCAGCACCACGTCCAGCACCACGTCCAAGGTCCCCCCTCCGGCCCCGGCCCTCTCACTCAGCAGTACTACCTGCCGCCCATGCCCAACGCCCGCACCAAGAACGACTTGGTCCAGATCGACCAGATCCTCGAGCAGATGCAGAGCACCGTCTACGAGAACGCTAACCAGGCCACCCAAGGCATCCACATCCACGGCCAGAACACGTTCGACCTCCGCCACAGCCCCTCGCCTCCGGGCGGCCACCGCGGCTCCCACGCCGGCATTCCCGTCTCCCACGACGCCTACCACGCCGTGTCCGCCGCTCACATGGCCTCTCCCTTGACCGCCGTCTCCTCAACCGGAACCCCCGCCGTCACGCCTCCCTCGAGCACCATGTCCTACACCTCTGGTCACTCGCCCAGCCCCTCTTCTTCCGGCATGTCTCCTCAATCGAGACATTCCTCCACCGCCTCTTCAGTCATGTACCCCAACCTCCCCGCTGTCAGCTCCGTCTTCCCTGGCCAGTCGACTGCGTCCACTCTCGGCCCCAGCTTCGACAGCAACGAGCGCAGACGCTACTCCGGAGGCATGCTCCAGCGCGCCGCTCCCTCGTCGCCCAGGTCTCCCATCTTCCTGGAGGACTCCTCCGCCGCCACCACTCCCAAGGCCGAGTCCGTGGCCTCATCCGTTGGCTCTCCCGCTTCCGATTCCGACATGAGCGAGGGTGCCCGCGAGCGCGAGGAGAAGTACGACCAGTGGCTCGAGAACATGCGCACCATCGAGGCCCTCCGCGAGTACATCCGCGACCGCATCGACCGAAGAGAGTACTCTGAGGAGCCCGCCGATCAAGAGTCCAAGTCGTCTCCCAAGGCCAGCCGCCTCAAGTCTCCCGAGCCTATGGAGGTTGACGCGAAGCCCGCCCCGGCAGCGCCGCTCTACCCCATCCTGCGCATGCCCAACTGAAGAAGCTTCCTACCTTGAGGGAAGAAGAGGCCCCCTCACCCTTGGGCACGTGTACCAATAGTTGTTCTACAAGCGTGTTTGTTTTTCCACAAAAAGTTTTCTCCGCACGAAACGAGGGAAATAGTTGTGTGGTGACCGGTTCCAAAAACCTGGTTCGTATTTGATTCTACTGCCTTGTTTATTTTACAACACCGCTTCTGGCGAAGATACCTCCCAAGCCTGTCGAAGCCTCTTTGTTACGTTACATACCCTGGTCGGAGGAAGATAAAAGGGGAGGTCGGATTGACCGCGCAGTCCAACACAAACGCAGATGGAAAGGATTACCGGGGGGAGAGGACGAGGTACACCCCTCCCTTTCGATTCCTCACAAACCATTTTGATTTTATTCACATTTCATGTCGACGGAAGAGGATGATTTTAACATTCGGGGAGGGTTTTGCGAGTCTCGAAGCACGAATACTTCTTCGTGCGAGGAAACGCATTTCTTGTTTTTCACTTCAGCACACGGTTTTTGCGCGGATCAGCAAACGGAAATCATGGGAATGGGAAATGAGATCATGACAAAAAAAAAAACAAAACACAAAAATCATGTTGCTTCGCCACCTATGTAGCAAGTTCTCCTTGGCCCGAACTCAAGGAACGAAAATGAATGTTTATTGCGCCCTCTGACCACTGCCTCTTTTCCCCTCCATCTTGGCGCGCCTCTCTTGGCAAAGTGAATCGTATACACACGCCACACCCCCCGGCAAGATGAGCCGTGACTGTTTCGTTTTTGTTTTCTTATGCTAGGCTCGACAAGCTAGTCAGGCCTTTTCTTGCCCGGCCGTCGTCGTCGCGCCTTCGCCCGCTGCCCCCCGTGAGCCAAATGTCTCGTCGTCTTGTCCCTCCCCGCCACGCGAGAGCGAATCTCGCAGGCCTTCTCGGCGCCGGTTTCGACGCTCGGACTGATTAGAAGTTGATGAACGTTACGAGCCTCACTTATACCCTCCCTTTTTAACCATGCTTGACCGAAAAAGGTAGATCTCAAGCTCGGACGAACGGTCCGGTATCCGACCGGCGTCCCAAGAATAGAAACTCGTCTCTGGGCGAGAGAGAGATACTATTTAGTATTGATTTACTTGGCACGGCGGGGGAGCAGGGAACGCGGCGCAGCTGGAGGCGTCCGTGCCGAGGGTGGCTCCCTCCGTGTAACAACAACCCCCCCGGGTGCTTTGGCGGGCGGAAACCACACACACTTGTCCTCGCCAAAACGGGAGAGAAAATGAAAAAAACAAAAAGTCGCCGGATCCGGAGGGAGGGGCGACGGGCGTCATCTTAACGTCTGCCCAGAAACGCCGCAGGCCGGAAAGCCCGGCTTTTCCTGTCGTTAGAAAAAGGGAAAGGGGGAAGGGAAAGGGGGGGGGGGGGGGGGGAGTATTATTATTATTATTATTATAATTATTACTATTTTTATATTAATCTTAATAATTAAAATAAATTTAAAAAAAAAACAAAAAAACCCCCGAAACGAACAACACAATAAACTTATTATTATAAGCAAGAAAATAAGAATAACTACAATTGTTATTAATAATATTATTACATCGTAAAAGCAATGCAATTAGAAGAGAGGTATAATCGCGAGTGAAGGCTATACCAGAAAAAATCGTCATTATAATAAACATTATAAAATCGAATACCATCGACCTAAACAGACCAAGAAACCTCCGTTACGCTCCGAACAATACTACTATATAAAACGCATTGCTAGGAGAACATGCGTGAGTTATATCTTTCTCTTGCTCTCCTGCATCCTCCCCCAC